AGTTTTTTTTCCCCCCCCCCCCCAAAGTTTTTTCATAGAATTATAGAACAATATTTGTAGTATAATTTCCAGTTTAGTCTGGGTGTGTAACTGGTTGCACTTTTGGAAAAAACAAAGTTGAAAGATGGTACGGTTATTTTCGCAATTTTGCCGGCAAGTCGATATTGGCGTTAGAAAAAATTTAAAAAAAAACCAAATTCCTGTAATATATACAAATCATTGCCGTCAAGTTGTTGTATAGATGTAAATCTTTCGGATGACCCAAAAATCAAAATCATATTATGTCGTACACATATCTGGAGTTCCTTTGAAAATGGATAATTTTACGTCTGAAACTGTCTAAAAATAGCCATGGCAGACACAAAATAGAAAATAAAGCAAAACTTGAAAAATAAAACAAGAATCCAGAAGATGTATGCATATTTATTACCTACTAACAAAGGCTAACAAATGATAGAAATATGAAGCGAAAATAATTTTCAACGCGAGAGTCAGTAGGTGGATCTTAGGAAGACAGCCTCTTAAGCTGGCGCAGTCTGCTTTAAAGTAGTGTTTCTGACCACATTTAGTGATTTAGCCAATACGTAGTGGAGATAAGCGCGTAAACATTGCCTGTCGCTCATATGATACGTTTGTTTAGGGGCTAGAGCATACGGTTATCTTATAATGATTTAATGCTTGTTGGGCAAAGAGTCATAAATATTTCTTTCTTTTAAGTACCCAAAAGTGGACCTAATATTACACAGATTAATGCAACCAGCTCCACTTCAATCGCCGTTACATGGGGAGTGGCACCTGCAGAGGATACCAATGGAATTATAACTCATTACTTCGTATGTTATAAACCTCAAACATCTTCAAATGATATATGTTCTGTCACGAAAAGACTTAATGGTGTTAACAACAGAAGCACAGTATTAAATGGTTTGAATGAATTCACTAACTACGAAGTCGCTATTCAAGCTGCTACTTCAAAGGGAAATGGGACACATGGAGCAATAAAAAACGTAAAAACTCTCCAGGATGGTAAGTTTCAATAAGGTATATAGTCTACGATTGAGCAAGGGCATCAGGTTTGAATATCCAATGAGTATAAAGTTGTAATCAAATCAGGAATGTGTGGGGGGGAGGGATGTCACATAATTGTGTACAAAAACATTTAGTTTTTACAAGTGTGAAGTCGAGCTGCACTCATTAAGTCTCAGGTTCGTTCAAGCCACAGGTTTCAGGGCAAAAAATCATAGAAACAGATTTTTTAAAGCCCTGCAAACCTAATGCAGAAACTTAAGGTTTTTTCAACTATATTGGAAAAATCATCATATATATATGGCAGTTATATAGTGCACACATTTGTGTCTATGATTCCGTATGTTCGTTTTGATTTCTGTATTCGCGATAGCATTGAATACACGTATTATTTCAACGAGTTTGTTACAACAGTATTGATTGAATGTTTTCAAGAACATATACTACAGTTTTATTGCGACTGGACCTATATATACTGCTATAATACAGTTTTATTGTTACTTCCTGAAAGAAATAGAACATTTTTTTTTAGATAAATATCCCAAAACCCAACATAAAGTGCGGCCATGTATGTCCCATTGAAGTTATTGTTTTCGAAACTTTTCGTATTAAATTTCTTCTATAAACGTGTTTTTCATAGAACTTTTGTGGTCCAATTAGAATTAATCACCAAATGAACTTTTGCGGTTTTTTATTCGTGCATATAATTATACGTGTTTTACCAACACAAGAACGGAAAATAGAAATTTTCATTGCATGCACTCTCAATTTCCATGCATCTGTATTCATGCAGCGACAGAATTGATTTATCCGCACTGAATACAAAGGTTTTTTCCGCAACGCTCTCTTGCAAATGTTTTCGATGGAGTTTATCACTTCCCATCGCACAATTTTTTATAATAACCGCTACTAGTTTGGTCGTGCCAAAATAATGAATTGGATTATAAAAACTGTGTGCTTAATGGCGAATCAAGTCCGTCTACTCGCACCAATCCCATCTTTACTCATCCAATAAAGCAAGGAGAAAATTCTGAGGCGGACGTCTGGCAAGTCTGCGTGAAAATCTGTATGAACTGCCCAAGTTCGCCTTTTTCATTCAAAAATCGAACGGAGATATTCGCCCCTCAATACATTGACCTCCCAACTGATAGTAAAATTTTCATGGGTGCATGTAATGCTTCATCAAACGCGATTTTTGGCAAGATTTGCCAAGGTTTTTCCCCTTCTTGAGATCAAATTGGAGCTCAGGATTCAATGTCAAAATCATCTGCAGTAGGAAAGTTAATTTTTCGGCGTCATTTAGCATGACGACCTATTTTGAACTATAGCTTCGCCACTGCTCATTCTTGCATGGGTACAAATCCGACTTCGACGAAATTGCTCTCAATTCCACAATTCCGTTCATGAAATGTAATTTTTTATATGCATGGATTGCTTTAGTTCTTAAATTATGGAAAATATAAAAAAAAATTAAAATAGTAAATTTTGCTATCCAGGGAGGTGGTCAACTTTTGCTCTCTTAAAAGTGGCTTGCGCACGGAAGTGACAAACGGTATTCTTTATTCGAGTTCATGTATCAAAAGTTCGCTATTTGTTGCATTTATGATAAAATTTCGGCAGGATTTTACCGAGAACAAATCCTCCGAAAAGCCTATAAAAACGTTACATTTTTCTCTGTTGGTGCTGTTCTTGCTTCATTACGAATTCAATTTTACTCCCATGAAAGTTCCGTGGAATTTCCATGGTATTTGTGCTTTCGAGTTGTTTGTGCTGAAACGCATTCTCTCGTATAATACCCCGTACACTTGGAAATGGCCATACCACAATTTACCCCGCAGCAGAGAGCTTTTATGCATAGTATCAGAATTCCTCCGGAGGAACAACATAAACTTGGTTCGCAAAAGTTTCACGAACGAATATCCATATGTACGATGCCCTTCACGTATTCGCACGTGAAGGGCATCGTACATCTGGATATTCCTTAGCCTCTTGAAACTTTGCCCTACCCTTAAGATTTCCGAGTTCAAAATGTATTAAATAATATTTTCAGATCATTCATATACTGTAATTCTTTTTGAAGAATCTACAGTATAGAATGTATATAATTTTGTTATATATACAGCTAATTCAAAAAAGGTTGTCCTTTGCAAACCTTAAACTCTAAACCTTAAACCTTAAACTCTAAGCGCACAAAGCTTAATGGGAGCACAAGTTTCAAGCTTAACAGTTGAATATCACATTTTTTGTGAATGAATTGTTCTCATTAGGAGATATTTACCATGTTTCCCATATGGACCCCATCTATGAATTCTAAACTGATTAAAAGAAGCTCTCATTAAGCTTCGCACGCTTAGAGTTTAAGGGTTGCAACGGACAACCTTTTCTGAATTAGCTGTATATATATATATATATATATATATATGTATATATATATATATATATATATATATATATATATATATATATATATATATATATATATATATATATATATATATATATATATATATATATATATATATATATATATATATATATATATATATATATATATATATATATGCTGGAGATTACCCAGTATAATAAAGACAGCTATAGAGTAAGTAGCCATGTTAGTAAAACAAGTTTCCTTCGTTAGGTGAATCAGGTTGTATGTATATGTATGATGCTTTGCAAGTATCATACGTGGAAGTTTGGACTTTCTTGTATACTGTCATTGATATACAACCTTAATTACGGAAAAAAATGTTTCTGTGATTTTAGGCAGCAAGACACCTAGAGATTGTCGTTCAGGCTCGTTCACAAACACATCACGATCATCCATTTGCCAGGAATGTCCAGAAAGATATTACTGTATTCCTAACAATGTCACCGCTGGTGATCCACAGTCAGGCTATCATGCTTGTCCGAGAGGTTATTACTGTCCTCCAGGTAAGTTTCAAAAATCAAAATGTGGGATGCATGTACTACATGCATCATAGTCATAGTGACTACGCCAGCTTGTACCGTAATTCTTTTTTAGTTCAATACCACATTTGGATCCTACGAATTATATATGAAAAAAAACCTGTTTGCAATATAGGTTATTATGAGACAATCAACCACATAAGAGTCAATCTTTATTGTTCTTACTATTGAAAAGGATAGCAATCTTTTCTTGCAATTTGGAAAACAAGCATTTGTACTCTTCATAGCTTCCATATAGCAATGTCTCGTCTTGCCGACTCGAGCCTTGGAAACCCTTCAAACCATACTAATAGATATTATATTCTCGTCTTGTTCTTTTCTAGGAACTGGTCTTGACTGGAAATCATGTCCTAAGGGATCATATAGCAATTCTACTGGTCTAAGCGTGGAGTCTGAATGCGAACCCTGTGATGGTGGTTTTTACTGTGATAAGCTCAACGCCACTAAACCAACGGCCCATTGTCATGGTGGTTATTATTGTGAATCTGGTGTTGATAGACCTGATCCCATACACAGCGGGAATGCAACTAACTTTTCCAATAATTGTAGCATTTACGGATATCATACTGGTAAGTCGTCACTTGCTTCAAAGCTAGTCATGTAGAAACCTGATTTCCTAGAAAAGAATGAGTGTTTCCTATTCCAACGTATTACTAATAAATTATATTGTAATTGCCGTGTGGATCAAGACTTTAGTATCCGGAACTTTTCAAAAAGACCAGCTGGCAAAGATCAACTATATAGGAATTAATTCTACCGCAGTAAAAAGCATAAACATATATATACACCAGATTTTAATTAAGTTTGAAATGGCACTGTACTAGGACAATCCTTTTCAATACATACCGAAATGAAATTATTATCACATACACCTTTCGCCATTGCGCATACATGCATAGTGAAATAATGCAGTGTCCAAACTAAATATAGGACATTTTGCAAAATTTTATTTATTGGTTTCCGTTTCTCATTCTCTTTTGAGCTCTGCATGTTTAGCGTTTTATACCTCATATTGAAGTACATTGAAATTCGTCTTGTTAGCATGATATTAAAGTTAAACCTTTTTATTTCAAGAACTCATCCTTCAAATTAAGAAATATTTAGCAGTAGTTTCTTTATCTGAAAATATATCAGTTCTGAAATTATTCAATTATATGGCATATAGGCACATTAGAGCGTGGGATACCCTAGTTCTACAAAAAGCGTTATTTCCTTACAGGTGAACCATGCTGTAAAATATATCGCATTTTTTTAGGTTTTGGTGGTATTTGTCCAGTAGGATATTACTGTCCACATGGTTCTGTCACACCAGTTGGATGTCCTGATGGATCATATCAAGACCAGCCTGGCAAGACATATTGTAAATCATGCCCAGCTGGTTATTATTGTCAAAATAATGCTTCATCTTATGTCAGCAACGAATGTCCCGTGGGTATGTAATAATGGATTTTTAAAGATATGGGCGGGTGCAAGCAGTGGCGTAATGAAGGAAGAGGGGGCCCTTAGGTGTGGGGGGCCCTGTT